GGGGGGGGGGGGGGGGGTGGGCATCTCTGCTTCTCTCTGGGTGTCTCTCTCCCTCTCTCATAGCGTGTCTCAGCCTCAGAGCAACACAACGGGACTTTGCCATTTATCCCGCATTAAAATAAAATCAAAACAAGACAAGACAGGACTAAGGGGAGATCACCTACCTCGTCCTGGTGCTTTGAATCCAGGATGTGCCCAGAATGTCCCTGTGAATATTACACTGTCTGGCAAAGTCTACTCAGATGATAGGGGGTCTTCAAGAGGAGGTGAGATAGGCATCTAGCTGGGGTCATCTAGACCCAGCACGCTTTCCTGCCTATGCAGGGGGTCGGACTCGATGATCTATTGAGGTCCCTTCCGACCCTAACATCTGTGAATCTATGAATCTGTGATAAAGAGCCATTAGTGATCCCTGTGGAAAGTTCATGCCTAGTGACCTCTTACACTGACAACCAGCTCAGCACACTGTGGCAAAGGGTATATCAGCAGGAAAGGCAGTTTTTTGTCACACCCCCACCCTTCCCAGCACTCAAGGACAAGCTGTTCTAGCCTTCACTAGTACCATCCCCCCTGGCACCAAAACATTGTCTTAAACTAATTCTTCTGCAGATCTTTCCTGAGAGAAATTGGCAGCTTGTTGGTCAAACTCCAGGCTGATCTGCTAGGATGGAGGCTTAGCTTATCTCATTCCCAATGTGCCAAAAGCTCCAAAGTTTTAACCCCTCTCCCCCTCCATGACTGTTTCTCTGCAAAGCTCATTTTCTAATAAACAGTCCCTCATTCTGCCATATTGGGCACGTCTACACATCCATTAATACGCTTTTGCTAATGCACTATACATTTAGTACCTCCATTGTGAGGTACTAGTAAAAGGCACATCAACCTATTTAAATGCACATTAGTGAAAGCGCATGGTTTTCTGCAACTCTTTAATGTGCATAAGCTAATGTTCATTAAAGTGCATGTGCAGACATGCCCAGTACTGAGTAGCATAAATCTATTAAGTGATTTCCCCCAATCTCACAGGACCACCTAGGATAGTGGGTTACTACTCAGTTGGAGGAAGAGTTGCTAGATCAAGTCCTATACAAGTGGTGTATCTACAGAGCGTTCATTTGAAAGAAAGAAAAATGAAATGCCCATGGACATCACTATTTTATTCTTTGACTTGTGACTCCAACAATTTATGCCTAACGGTTAGTTGCTTCAAATTAAGGTGAGGACCCCTTTGGGTACCTTCTCACTAGCAGCAATGACTTAGGATTTGCTCTTTGGGGCAGGGGAACTATGACAGGATGTATTACCCACCTGTATAATGGAAGGCCCTTTGCTGGTTGAGCCTTAGAGATGGCTGAAAATCCTTAGCTCAGAATTTCATTTCTCTCTGGGCTCTGGAAGAGTGAAAACACAGAGTTACCATGAGGTGAACTGGGGCTGCCAGAAAGGATCCTTACTGAGGTTGAATAAGGAGAAGTGCAAAGTCCTTCACTTAGGACAGAACAATCCCATGTACTGGTACAGGCTGGGGACTGACTGGCTAAGCAGCAGCTCTGAAGAAAAGGACTTGGGGGGTACAGGGGAAAATAAGTTGAATATGAGCCAACAGTGTGCCATTGTTGCCAAGAAGGCTAACAGCATACTGGGCTGCTTTAGTAGGAGCATTGCCAGCAAATCAAGGGAAGTGATTATTCCCCTCTTTTCAGCACTGGTAAGGCCACATCTGGAGTACTGTGTCTAGTTTTGAGCCCCCAGTACAGAAAGGATAAGGACAAATTGGAGAGAGTCCAGTTCAGGCTAATGAAACTGGTTAGGGGACTAGGGAACATGATTTCTGAGAAGAGGCTAAGGGAACTGGGCTTATTCAGTCTGGAAGAGAGAAGACTGAGAGGGGATTTAATAGCAACCTTCAATTACCTGAAGTGCAGGTCCAAGGAGGATGGAGCTGGACCAGGGGTGAGCAAAATATGGCCTGTGAGCTGGATCCAGCCCACGAGGCCATTCTATCTAGCCCATGGGGCCCCTAAAAATTAGAATATTAATATTTATCTGCTCCTGACTGCCTGTCAAAGATGACAGGAGCCAGAGGCATTAGGACCCAGGGGAAGCCAGCAGCAGGTCCCTGCAGCCCAGCAGTGATGCCTGCCTGACCCTGCCCCAGCCCCACACCCCTCCTACCACTGCCCCCCGCACTAAAAGCCCATGCCCACCAGAGCCTTCTGGCCTGGGACCATGAGGCTGTGCCCACCTCCCTCCACCAGAGAAAGAAACTCAGAAAAGAATGTGGGTTCCACAGTTTTTTCATGCCCCACACAGCCTTCACCAAAATGTTGGACTACCTCGCCTGAATCCCTGCAAAAAAGTTTCCACTGTGTATGCATCAAAAGCAGATTATTTGGTGCAGTGACTCTTCAACATGTTCTCTTACAGCATTGTTGTGTTCAATGAGCTTTGCTCATCTGAATGGTCACTCAGTGCATAGTCCACTGGTTTCATTTGCTGCTTTGGAAATCTAAGCAGGTTATAGCTTATTTAGCTCTGTCTCTTCTTATGTGTCAAAGATAAGGTTTCTAGATTCAAGTTTTAAAAACAAAATTATTTCACTCCAGTAGTTTCATCCTTTCAATGGTCCCTCCTCCTTAGCCTTAGTGTGATTTCAATTCACCTTCTCTCTGCAATAAAAAGGGCCAGATCCTCAGCAAGTGTAAAAATCAGCATAGCTCTGCTGGCCAGGAATGTCTACTTCAGTGCTTGTTTCTGAAGCCCCAATAATTTTGAACAGTCCAGTCTTTTCTTTTGCCATCAAGGTCTGCAGAGTTTTATTCAGATACATTCATAGCCTGGCTTTAAGAATTGTACTAAAATATACACAGCACAGCATACCAGTGGGTATTTAAATAGTCTGTAGATCTCTTCTCTCTGTGCTATAGAAAACCTATGGAGGAATCTCTCTCTCTCTCTGCATGGGGAAAATGGAAAGCAGTTGATCAACAAAAGTACATGGGGATATGAATGCACAAAGCAAGCTTAATAGTTTCTCCTATTTGCAAGCAGCAGGCAAAAGAAAAAATAATGGGAAAAGAAATCTTTTGTTCTTTGCATTAGAAGGACACAGTATAAAACAGGGAAGATCCGGAGATCAGAAAGAATCTCCACATTGTTAACAAAACAGCTGATGAAGGAAGCTGGGCAGATGGGATTGGGCAGATTGTACATTTTAAGTTCTATTTTAAAACTATAAGGGAGACATGTAAGGGAGACTGCACTCTATAAACTATATACGCTTTATTTTAATTTGAGATTCAACAGCAAAGCACAGCTGAGTCCCATGGGTCAGTGAATATAATCAGACCTATCCCCAAGTTCTTCTCATTTGCTATCATGAAACCTTCCATTTTCCATATATCCTCTTGTGCTGCACTCCTGAAGGATGTGGAATGTATTATTGTCAAGGTTTTTCAGCTCTCATTGTTTATAACAGGCTAAAAATGGATTAAACATGCTTTGTAAGTGCTGTATTGATATTCTGGTGCTCTCCCAGTCTCTTGTGAAATGTGTTTCCTCTTTCTCCTCAGCAAACAATGCCACGCTAAGTAGTGATCTTATTTAGGCTGTGTGCTGTGCTCATCGCATAGCTATCAGTCTTCCAAGGACTGCTCATATTTATTTGCTGGTTGAGTCCCCACAAATGCAGAAGGGAATCACTGCCATTTACAAATCAACATAGATGGTATGGAAGATTGAGGTTGTCGAAGTCTTCAACAGGGTACCATCACTTCTCTACTCTTAACTTCATGTGGGTCTGATATTTGGAATGGATCTCTTTCTAGATAGTCAACCCAGTGGTGGATGAAACTCCATGGATTCAGGCTTCATTTTCACTTTGTGTCAACCCTAACATTTTGGCTGCTATTGATGAGTTCTTAGGAACTTAGGAGGCCACAAAATTACATCTTGTGAGAACAGACTTTC